CGGCTCACTCCCAGTTTGTGGTTGCCTTTACTAGCCCCCTGCTTCCCCACTGCTGGGAGAGGCCTCATCCCACCACCTCAGACCTAATGAGCCTCCGTAGAATCCAGAAGTTTTCATTGTCTTACAGGCTGCTAAAAGGCTTCCGAAGAAATGAGTCAGTGTTTTCATTCCCCGTCCTGGATCTCATCTGGACCGGCATCTGTGTTTGCTGTCTCCGGGGAGAGAGAGAGGCTAATTACTGGACAAAGCTGGGGATTAAGCTTCCTTCTTGCCCTTATAAAGGAACAGTCTCTCTGGAACAGGGTTTAGGCTTATTAGGAGAGTGGTAGAAAGAAAAGGTGTTTCTTCTCCATCCTGTCTAGTTAAGGAGGGCTTTTAATCTGACACCTTCGGCAATCACTAAAAAAAGCTTGCAAGTCCCCAGAAGATGGGCCATCTTTTGCCATATATTCAAGCAATAAGACGTGACAGGCGCATTATTTCATTGGGGCTGCACACCTTGAATGCATTCTGTGGCAGAAGGCCAAAGTACAAATGACTTCAATGCTCACGAAATGCAATATTCTTTAACAAATGCATTAAAATCCTTGCACTGGCTTATTAGTATTAAGAAATGAAAATTGCTTGAAAATGAAGGAGGCAGAGAGATTTCCTAACATTGGTTCCTAGGGGTCAGGCACCTTGATAGCCAATAAGAAGCTACCATTTGCAAATACCGTTCAAAGGACACATCTTCATATAGTCAGCCTGGAAGAGGGCTCTGAAACCTGAGAGCACCTAGCTCTTCCTGCACTGCCAGAGGGCAAATGTTGAAGTATAGCATTAGAAGATGAGATCCAGGTCGGCATGTAGACCCTTACGCCAGCCTTCCAAGTTTGGATGATTACTGTTTTCTCATTTTCCTAAAGGACTGCACCAGGTCTTGTGTGTCTATAAAAGCATTTTTAGCACTTTGGGGGTGATTTGGCTTTTAAAAATTTGCCTTTGAGGATGAAGGCTCCAGGGTAATTGTAATCTGGCCCTTCTAAATCCTTCTTTCCCAGAGAGAGGCACATTTCTAGATGATTAGAGAACTTCAGGTGGGAACGTTACTCTGCCTCTGGCTTTATGCCTTAAAATATGACCTAAGGCGAGCTATCATTTCCCAGAAATGAAATATGTCATATGTTACTATTAAAGTGAACCAGAAAAAGAGCATTCTATTACAATAATGGGTTTTGTTTTAAAAAAAAAAAGTAAATGTCAAATCCCCAAAGGAATAATACATATTTGATACTATTATTGGAACAGCAATACCAGTAATTGTATGAAGTGCTTATATTTAGTATGATTCGTATAGTAAAGGAATTTTATGTAAACCTTTCAGTAGAATTATTGTGTCAGAGGAAAATGAGAAACAATATCACTTATTATTCATGCAATCAATATTCATTTATTGGAGGTGACTGTGTGTCAGTCATCAGTCTAAATGCTTCGGATGCAGAAAAAGAAGAAGGAGGAAGAAGAGGAGGAGGAGGAGGAGAATAGAGCATCTTCCTACCTTCAAGGAACTCACATTCCAATTCAAGAGACAGGTATAACAATTAACAATACAGCAATATATAGGCATAGCAATAGGTAGAGCAATGCATATCACAATAGCAATGATAAGAATCCCAACCATGCCATGGGAACACACTACTGAGAACTATTCAGTCTGGCTGAAGGACTCCTTGCTATTCTTAGTGGCCTGTTGGAGCTGAGCTGCATCTTAAAATTTCAGGATGGAGCACACATTGGGCAGGTGGAACAGCATGGTCAAAGGTGTAGCATCACCAAATAATAACAATAATAAGGGTAGCGGTAGTAGTAATAGTAGTAGTAATAATAAATAAAAGCATGGCCCATTTAGAGAATAGTGAGTGGTTTGCATAGCTAGAGGGTAAGTCTGTCAAACTGTCTAATGTCAAATACTTTGATGGACTAGTTTGAGTTAGAGAAACTCGAGTGATTTTACAGCAGTATAATTTTACAAAATGAATGTGTTTTACGTTATACTCTATAGGGCCAAGGCAATGAGAGTAGGAGACAAAATGTTGCACGGAATAAAACTGTCATTCTCACTATGACTCATATGTTAACTTATGAAAATACACTTACATGAAGAAATGCAAGAAAATTGCTCATTTCACATGCTTATGGGTAGATTGAACCTAATTTTGTAGCATTAAAGCCAATTTCCCACTGAGAAAACATGTCACAGAGGATGGCATGAACCTTTATCATTATTAATAATATTTGATATTTCGATGTCACCTTTCATCCTGAGATCCGTCCTGTACACATAAGAACAGATAAGCTCCAAGGAAACAGAGATAATATTGATACAGTAAGTCACATGCATTTCTAGCTTCCATATTCCAAGGGCTTTCCAGTTGTGCGTTTGTCTCATCTCTAAAAGTTAGTGGATATAGTTGTAAAGCAGTAATTTTTTGTTAACTTATTATTCACGAAGTCTTAAGGTAGAGTCAGGGCCGCATCCTTTTACACACAGCTCTCCTTGGAAGATCAGTTTTTGACATATCCATTCCCCTTTCCTTGGCTTCTTTGCTTGATGATCTCCATTCTGAGTGGAGGACATACCAGCAGTGAGCTGTGTCTTCATGGATTCTCTGCCTTCTCCAAAAAACTAGCAAGTCATCATAATCAACAACTACTACTACTGTTCCTTACAAAGCACTCATTTCAGGTCCGACTTATTCTACTGTTCTAAGCCGATACACATCACCTTAACAATTTTCACACCAACTGTGCTGTAGAACTTTCTGTGATGATGGAGATCCCTTGAATATGTGCTGTGCAATGAGGTAGCCACTAGCCATAGGCAGCTACTGAGCACTTGAAATGTGGCTAGTACTACTGGAAAAAGGCATTTTTCTTTCATTTAATTTTAATTATTTTTTATGGAAATAGCCATATGGCTAGTGACTATTGTATTGGACAACACATAGTGACTGGTGGTTTATTTTTTAGAGAAAATAAAGCTCTGTTCCCATCATCAGTAAAGACTTAATGAGGACTACTGTGAGTGAATGGTTAAAAAATATTAAAGCTACAAATATTTTAAAAGAAGTCCCATATTTTACATTGGGGAATTTTTATTCCACCCTTCCTCCATCCCATTAAAATTTCATTTAAAACATGTATGTGGAACATGAGAGAGGCATAGAATCATTTCTAAACAAAGAACACTTACAAGAGATGTGGGTGATATCCTTAAATGAAACCTCATTGTCATCCAGTCATCCCATGTGGTCAGCAATGATGGAAACTCGGCTATCTGTTGAGAGCTGGAATTCTAATTACTGGTTTCCCAAAGGGAGACATTCACCTCCACTTATAAAATGGGATGACGAAAGAGGGTTTTACGTTTTGGGTGTCCATGTGTGAAACACGGTCTTCCGATAAACTCTTAATTCACTTTGAGCCCCCTTTGCTAAAACCACCTCCCCGGGATTTATCTGGTTTGTGTGTGAAAATATGAGAATAAACTTAAGGTGAAGAAATTGATTGGGAGACTCAATTACGTTTCGCTTAGTCCGCTCAGTAACTTACACCGTTACCACTGTTCGAGAAGGAAAACTAAGTATCCCTTGGTTTGAACCATCTGTCGCGAAAATGTGACATATGTTTGCTTTGTTTACTCAACAACCAAGTGTAAACTGATACACTGAACAAGAAATCCGTGTATAGTGTGACTCTGTGTGTGTGTGTGCGAGCCCCCCCCCCGCGTGTGTACACACACACACACACGTTTTGAGGAGGGTGCTCCCTGAGGGCGTCAATCCTCTCATACCTAACCCCTGAGGAACACGTGCATAGGCGTGCAGATCTGAGGGGTGTCCCCTGGGCTTTGGGCGCGTGAAGAGGCGCAAACACCACTCCCCTACCCCCAAACAATGCGCAGCAAGCATCTGAGCGGCTACCGCAGCCCCGGGCGCGCCTGGCTGGTGTGGGGCTGGATGGAAAGATACCCACCCTCTCCTCTCTCCTTGTCTCTCGGCCCTTACTCCCCCGTCTCCAACTTTACCCAGAGCCTGTGCCCTTTTCAATTAACACCCCCGCCCCCCGCCTTAATCAAAAGGATCGTTTCTTTTCTCTCCTCCGCGGTCCATTGTCTGGTGCAATGGGTTTGCAGATTTGACAGCTGAGCTCACCCAGACTCTATTCAAACTCGGTTTCCATAAACGATGAACTTGGATATCAGCAAAGATCGGGAACCCAAGCCCTGAGCTGTGGGCTGTTCCATAGACTCCGCTCGGAACCCAGAGTGGACTTCGTTGTCCCGGGCGCCCCCCGGTGTTCGGGGAGAGGAGTGTGTGTTCCGATCGGGGTAGGGGGGTTCAGTAGCGTGGCTGAGAACGAGTGGACCCAGAAATTGGGGGGAAAGGCTGTGTATATGTTGGGTTTTAAAATTTATAATTTTAAAATTGACTCTTGAAACAGCCAAGATGGAGGTCAGCTTATGAATTTCCCAAAGCCAGGTCTGGCGCGGTTTAAATGCAGTGGCCGGGGGTTCCGCTTTTGTCTCCTTGCCTAAGCTCCAGGAAAGAGAGAGAGAGAGAGAGACAGAGAGAGAGAGAGAGAGAGAGAGAGAGAGAGAGAGAGAGGCTGCGTGTGCATATGAGTGCGTGCGCGCTGGCGTGGATCGGTGCGTGGGCACATCTTGCGATCTCGGCTCCGAGGGTCTGGGTCTGAGTTTAACGCGCCAAGTCTTGAGTCATAGCCGCGAGTGACGTGGGGAGAAACTTTGTGTTCGGAAGAAAGGTCTGATTCGATTGCACTAGGACGGAAGAAAGAAAGAGCCCTTGTGCATTGTGCCCTTTTGTGTGTGTGTGTGTGTGTGTGTGTGTGTGTGTGTGTGTGTGTGTGTGTCTACGAGGGGAGGGGAGAGGGAGAGAGAGAGAGTGAGGGAGGGAGAGAGAGAGAGAGAGAGTGTGTGTCTGGCAGTACTCGCGGGCGGCTGCATAGCCCTGCGTGTCCTGTGCGCGCGTGCTGGGTCCGGCGCCGAGTCCGCCGCGGACGAGTGTGTTCATCTGCGGCGTCCGTGCGTGCGAGCCTCAGAGGGGGCTGGCGGGTGTGCTATAGGGCGGCGGGAGCAGGAGCAGGCCGAGGGTCCTCAGGCAAAGAAATCTGGCCTCGGAACCCGCTAGCCTCCGCTCAGCTTCCAATATCCCAACCGGCAGCCGAGAGCCGGGGGGACTCTGCTCGGAAATCGTCCTGGGCCAACTCAGCCCCTCTGAGCTCTCGAAGATTACCGCATCTTCTTCCTAACGCAGAGAAGTGAGCCCGGAAAGGGAAGGAAGGGGCGGGGACACCCCCCAAATAAATAAATAAATAAACAAACTGGCTCCTCGACACAGCTGGACACGGTCGGTTGAGTCCAGGTTGGTGGCATTTGGAGAGTTTTCTCGTTCTGTGGATTTGGGAGCCCATCGCCGCTCCCCCGCCCTCTTCTCCCCTCTTGCAGGCGCCCCTCAACTTTGGGGTCCGGGGGCGCGCGCGGCTCGGGGCGGCACCTGCCCTGGCGCTCCGGGGCTGCCGGCCAGTGCGCTCGCCCCGGGCGGTGGCGTTGAGGAGCCCTAGTCCGAGGCGCCGGGCGAGACTGCGCGCGGCTCAGACACCCGGGAGGGAGCGGAAGACCCACGGCGGGTAGGGGCGCGCGAGCCGGGTTTCGGCCCTAGCCCGGACGTCGGTTCCCGGTTGCCCCGCTGCCTGAGAAAAGAGGCGAGCCCGGGGAGGAGCGGGAGACGGCGACCGGGGGCAGCGATTGGTGGTTTGGGTGAAGAGGCCGGCAGCGGAGCGAGCGAGCTGGCTGGAGGAGGGGGCGGTGAACTTCCAGGGAGAAGGGGCTCTTTCTGCGCCTGGGCTGGAGAAAGAGCTGCCGCCGCCGTGTGCTTCGACTCCGGCAGCGGCTGGCTGCGCTCGGAAAGTAACGTTATTTATTTATTTATTTGCTTGCGTTCAGCCTCTTGGGTTGGACCCGATAGACACTCCTTGGACTTTGGGAGCTGGCGTCCGACCTCTCCAGCCCCTATCCTGCCCTTGCGCGCGGCTCCCCGGAATACACGTACATACCCCCCCCGTGCCCCCTCCTGCGCCCCGACCCGGTTAGGGGTGGGCCCTCACCCGGGCTCTAGAAAGTCCCCCAAGGCGGGAGCAGGGGAGGGCAGAGGGGGCGGGGAAGGTTCCAGGGCTCTCGGCTCTCATTTCAAAGCGCGCTCTCCCTTCCAGGTTGGGTCAGACCTGAACCCCCAAAAGCGGAACCGCCTCCCACCCTCGCGCCGGCCGCCCGCGGGGAGCTGAGTCGCCGGCGGCGGTGGTGGCGGACGGACCGGGAGTTTCCTCTCGCACTGGATGGAGCTGAACTTTGGGCGGCCAGAGCAGCGCGGCCGTCCGGGGATTGCTGTATGCTGAGCTCCCTCGTCGATACCCAGCCGCGGCTCGGGATTTTTTGGGGGGCGGGGACCAGCTGCGCGCCGGCACCATGTTCCTGGCGACCTTGTACTTTGCGCTGCCGCTCCTGGGTAAGTCGAGGCCGCCGCTAGCTTCCTAACCCGCTGAATCTTTCCGAGGGGATACTCGGGGCAGCCCCCAACCCCCCCAACTGCAGCGCGGTTGCGTGGGTGTGGGAGGGCGAAGTTTCGTTTTGGGGAAGGGGATCTTGAATCCTCAGCACCCTGGGCTTGGGAGGCGGTGATGCGCGGCACTTGCCCGCAGCTTTTTGTGCTTGGTTTTAATTTTCTGTGCTTTGCAATGGCCAATCCTGGCGGAGAGTTAAGGGGTCCGAGCCCCTCCAGCTCCGGGACCAGCGCTCCTTGCGAGTCCTGGGAGCTCTCGGAGAAGCAGCGGGCAGGTGGGGGTGCGGGCGAGCACTGGACCGGGAGAGGAAACTTCGAAGGGAAAACTTTTCCCCGAACAGTGTCTGAGCGCTCCCCGCCCGGCGGGCCGCGGACCAGGGCTAGCCCGCCCTGCGCCCCGCGCCCGGCCCGCAGTGGCCCTCCTCTTCGGAAAGCCCCCGGCCTCGGTCGGGCGGGGCCGAGCCAGCGGCTCCGGGAGACCGAGCAGCTGCTCCGGCCGGGCTGCTCCGGGAGCGGTGGGGCGGGCAGCGCGCGCTCGGGGGCAACCCTCAAACAGCCCGCAAAGCCACGCGGGGCGGAGGTTGGCGTTGCGGGGAGCGCCGGCGGCCGGAGGTCCCGGGGCGGGAAAATGAGTCCCCCGCGTAGAGGGGCGGGCCCGCGGGCGGCGCAGGGCACCCCAGAAGCTGGGTGTGGCACGCGCCCTCCCCGCAGCGGGAGGCTCCGGGTCCTGGCCCGCCGCCCTCACGCTCCCCCACCTCCTCCCGCAGACGTGCTGCTGTCGGCCGAGGTGAGCGGCGGGGACCGCCTGGACTGTGTGAAAGCCAGCGACCAGTGCCTCAAGGAGCAGAGCTGCAGCACCAAGTACCGCACGCTGAGGCAGTGCGTGGCGGGCAAGGAGACCAACTTCAGCCTGACGTCCGGCCTGGAGGCCAAGGACGAGTGCCGCAGTGCCATGGAGGCCCTCAAGCAGAAGTCGCTCTACAACTGCCGCTGCAAGCGGGGTATGAAGAAGGAGAAGAACTGCCTGCGCATCTACTGGAGCATGTACCAGAGCCTGCAGGGTACGCGCCGACCGTCCTGGCCCTCCACCCCCATCCCTCACCCCCACCCCACAAAGGCAGGCGGCGGGCCCCTCAGCCGGGCTCGCTGACCTCATCCTCTCCTCGCTTCTCCCCAGCTGCAGAATGAGGACCTTTCATTGGCCCCCAGGGACAGGGGCAGCTGGTGTTTGCTGTCTCCGGAGCAGCACTGTGGGGGCCTGGTTGTTGGAAAACCCGTTGCGGGGGAACACCCCCCGGTCCCCGCTGACCTCTCTGAAACCTGGTCAGAGCATCCGAGTAGGAGCCCGTTTAAGGACAGGGCAGGAACTCATAACTTCTCTCCAAGGAGAGCTTCAGAGGATAAGAATACAAAGACTTGCCCTGAATCGTGTCCGCAGTTTCTCCCCTTTCTTCTTCCCTTCTAGCCACTCTGACATAAGTTAAAGAATTAAGAATAAAAGGTCCAGTAGGCTCTATTTTATCTTTATCCTCCTCAAACCTGATCAAAGGCAGATGTGTGAGAAACCATTTGTTGTCTTAGATTAGCTGAGTCTTGAACCAGCTGATGGGGTTCAACTTTGGTTAACAACGGAAAGTGGCTTTGAGAGAAAAAGGACCACTTGTCACAAGCATCCATTCCAATGGGAATTTTTGGGTCCTTGTGTGCCAGAGGTGGCTGGTGTTTGTAAATCTAACACAGACGTCCAGGGCATTCATTCTTCCCTGAGACACCGAACATTTGTTAACATACAGATTTGACCTTTCTGCTGCCTCTTGCTCCAGAACCTATTACAGTGAAAACCTATTTCAGAGACTGTTGAATAACCAGCACCCCGGCTTTTCTGGCCCCATGCTGTGCTGAGGAGCATAGAAATGGGGGCCCTCTTTTGGGTCACTTTTCTTCCATTGGCTCCCGGAGGTAAGCTGGGCCGGTGACATCACTGGTTCCTTCCTCTCTTATTTCATTCCTTTGCAAAGAGTGGGAGAGTTTTCTGGCAAGATCAGGCTGGGTTGCTCTCCAGTGTTTTCATGGCACTCTGGGGAGAGGAAGGACAACAAAGGCAGAGGGAATGCAAAATAACCATAGCCAAATAGATGCATTTGAGACCTTGGACAGTTTCGGCATCTTTTCGTTACACAATCATAACATAATTAAAATTTAGATTCAGTTAAAAAAGAAAAGAAAAGAAAACCACTCTGAAATATGTCTGCTTTCCGATCTAAGCCCCATCTTCCTGTTGTTTTTAGGAAATGATCTGCTCGAAGATTCCCCTTACGAGCCAGTTAACAGCAGATTGTCTGATATATTCCGGGTGGTCCCATTCATACCAGGTAAGCAGATTCATGCCTCCACTCTGTTGCCTTTGCCTGCTTGAAATCCATTGGGTTGCGTTCTCCCTGGCTCTCAGAGAGCGTCTAAGTAGATAGTTGAATGGCACAGCGTTTCTCGGAAATTAGAAATAGGATGATGATAATGAAGGGGCAGAAGGCCTAGAGATGATTGTATGACTTGAAAGTAATTCTAAATGAAGTAATGTGGTGTGGTGATTTGAAAGAGGTTGGAGGGAGCTGACTCGGTTGAATTTTTTTTCCCACATTGAAATATGATTGGCTAGCTTATGCATAGGGACTTCTGTCTGTAGGTGGCAATCATACTCCCTTCTTGCCACGTACCATTCACAGAGCCTCCCTGCAGATGGGATCTGTGTCAATGATGCCACTTACTTTCTGAGACTTCTGAAGATAATCTTAGATTGTTGAGGAATTTCGGATGGACTCACTTGTCTGCCTTTGATTGAAAAGGTTCAGCTCTACCATTTGATAACAATTCTATTTTTAATTTGTCCTAAGCAAGTGTGTGCATGTATCAGAGAAGGTATTAATGCCTCACTGGCCCTTTACAAAGTGGTTTTGCTTCCCTTGGTTTGTTTTATCTGTCTTTGCAATTCTACATTTGTTTTGGAAGTGAACTTAGTTTCAGAATTAAGGTTTTCGTAACACTGGGGTTCAGACAGCCCCATAAATAATGAGCAAGGCAGTAATTTCTCTTAATGACGTATAGATTCCAGACTGATGTTGTCTTTGTTTACACTTAAGACATTTCCTCAAGTATATACAGCCATCACAAATGATACGCTTCGTTGGCGGTTGTACGTGGTGGTGAATGTTGAATTCTGTGAGATGATGGTTTGTTATGGGTGAGAGTGTTCTGGTGTTCTCAATGTTTTCTGTTTTCCTGCAGAAACCCATAGAACTAAGGGAGTATGTAAATACTGATATTATGTGTCGGTGTATTTATATACATTTCATTCACTCACAAACACCCATTGAGTACCCACTACATTCCAGCCATTGGGATTTTGGCAGTAAGCCAGACAGATGTCGCCTCTGCCCTCATGAATCTCAGAGACAGCCAGCAACTGCATTTCTTTAAGCCCCTATTATATTCTAGGCACTGTGTTAAGAACTTTTTTTAAAAAAAGATTTTATTTATTATTTTTGAGAGAGAGAGAGAGAGAGCATGCAGGGGAAGAGCAGAAGGAGAGGGACAAGCAGACTCTGCACTGAGCATGGAGCCCCGTGTGGGGCTCCATTTCAAGACCCCAAGGTCACGATTTCAGTGGAAATCACAAGTCAGTTACTTAACTGACTGAGCCACCCAGGCGCCCCTGTGTTAACTTTTTATCATTAACCTCGATAACAATCTTCGTATGCTTCTGAGGTATTATTGTTTCCATGTTAGGAATGAAGCAATGTGAAGTTAGGAAACCAGTCAGATTACAAAGCTCGTGATTAAGGAAACCAGAATTTAAACCCAGATTTGTTTGATTCTAAGTGTTTGTGACATCCACCCCTTGCTACCCAGAGTGTGGTCTTTTCAGCAGTGTCATGGACATCACCTGGGAGATGGTTACAGGCGTGGAATTTCAGGCTCCATCCCAGACCTACTGAATCAGAATTTATGTTTTAAGAAGACCGCTGGTCTGGGTGCTTGATATACACATGAAGCCTGAGAAGCATTCCTCTACATTATTCTGTTTTTGGTTCAGAGGAGGTGTGTGTGTGTGTGTGTGAGTGTTGGGCTAAGATGTGTGTTTTGGGATAAGATATACTGGTGTAAGTTTAGTATCAGAGGCATTCATATATTATCCAAATACTGCTGATAATTTCCACTCCAGAGCCCTCCTAATGCTCCCTCCCTGTCCTTGGACCAGCTGGGGCAGTGTCTCACATACCAAAGGAAAAATGCACAGACCCATCTGAGCTCTTTCAGGGGCAGGTCCTTAGGAGCTGGGATGGGATGTGGTCCATGGCATATCAGAAGTGAACCTGGCCTTCCTGATGCTTGAAGGGCAGTGCCTCTTGCCTGCTGCCTGTCCCTGGAAGCCTTACTCTTTAGTCTTTGTGCAGATGCTTAGAGGGCTCTGAGCCTTTCTGTGGACAGTGAGAGTGAGGACGCAGGCAAGGAGGAAGGCTCAGTTGGGTTTTAATTTCAGAACTTCTGTGGACTATAGGACTGCATCAGATTCATTTTCCCTTTCTGGTGCTCTCTTTTCTTGGTATAATGAGACCATGGGTATAAAAAATCTCTAGTCCTAACAGCTCATGATTCTGAGGGAAGATTGAGGTCACCTCCAGAACCCATTCACTGTGCTCTTCAATTGTGTTTTCAATCCTTGCACGCATTCTACGGTTAAAATGGCTTGGTTATTCTCAGATACCCCGGGTTGTCTGAATTTCTTCTATGAGTACCAGGAATTCTTCTGCATATGGATCAAGTTTCACTCATTCATTTTCCTTGTTCCATTTCTCAGCCAGACTTCTTTTCTTAGCAAATATGACCCTGACTTTGTGAGACCTGTCCTGCTGAGAACCCAGAAGTCATAATGAATTAATTAGAGCTAGGAAGGCATTGTCTGGAGCTACATTTTATCTCTCAAGGGCATTGAATTTAGGTTCCAGCACTAATGAGCTTTGACCTCTGACAGTGACAGTGTTCCCTAAGTGGGTATAGGAAAGCCAAATGGAACCTCGAGAGGTTTTAAGTCATTGAATAATGCATATTATCCAGTTTGGCATTTGTAGGGTAGGGAAGGACAGAGGAACGGGATGATAAATGTTGCTTTTGGTGGTTTGATTCTAAGTTTCTAGAACATCTCCCCTGTCTTGAAAATCTCTCTGAGGAAACCAGGACAACAGGGCCTCTGCCTTTTACAGATATGGTAGCAATCCGAGTTTCCATATTTGGGTTTCTTTGCCCAATGTGAAGTGAATGTTTATCCACATACATTAAGTATGAGCTGAATCGTCTCACTGAACAAGACATGTTTGACATTCTCGTGTTTCCATTTTCTTTGGACTCCTCAAAGCCACTGCCTTCTTTGCCATTGTTTAGTTGATCAGCAGTTAAAAAGCCATATTGAGGTGCTGTCAGGGGCCTGGCAGGAACAAGGAAGGGAACAAAAATGAGATGGAGTCTCAAACCTGTCACCTCTGTTCTGAAGCCTGAGCTGCAGGAAGGAAATCAAACAGCCTTGTCAGGCGAGAATTGGGGAATTGCGGTGCCACAGCCTCGGTGGAAATGTGTCGGTGGAAGCATTTGGCCTTGAAATCAGTTTTAAGGGCTCCAGGAGGGGCCTTTGTTGTGAGTTGATGCCAGCGTCGTTTTTAGGGGTCTCAAAGAGGAAGATCCAGGCGGTGAGTGGAAGTATGCAAAGGAAAGAGGGAGCCAGTGTGAGAGGATGTTGGAGAGGAGAGAACATGGAAAAGGGTCTGGAGAGCCAAGAGGGCAGAGCTGTGTGGGCCATGGAGGTTCCGAGGATAAAGCTACCACATCTATTTCGCATCTGCCACGACTCTCTGCTCTTTAACCTTGCCTTTTCCTCTTTGTGCAGGTTCTAGAAGCAGCAAGAAGTAAATAGTGATTTAAAAGGGAGACGAACCTGTTGGCCATGTTTTTTGGACTCTCCGGAGGGAGAGTGCAAAGTAGAAAGAAATTTTGAAAGCACAGCGGGTGCCAAGAAGAACCTGAGGATAAGGGGTCAGAGGGTGATATAAGCACCTTATAAGGATGTAAGCAACGAGGGAAAAAAGAGGGCTCCGGGGTTTAAAAGTATTGACTGGGAGGTTGGATTTTGTAGAGAAGTGTCAAGAGAGGCCAGACCTTTCTCAAAAATAACCGGAGCCGATGGTATGGCAAACAAGAAGCAGTAGGGATGTGGGGAAAGAGGGATATTAGGATTTGGATATTAGCAATCTAGGAATGGCTTAGACCTCCCCAAGAAGCCTTAGGATCTTGACATCGGTTCTCGTGCAGTTGGAAATAGTTTGCTTCAGGAGGAGATGCCCCTGAACAGTCTTTTGAGTGTGACCCCTTTTTCTGAATGATGCTGTGAATCATTAGCCGTGTTTAGCACTTCCGTTTTAATGTGCCATCGTACTTAGGTCACTATGCCAAAAAAAAAAAAAAAGAAAAGCTTTCTTAAAAATTTTACATGTTGAAGAAGACTGATAAGGTCCTGTTGGACAAGAGAGAGAAGTGTTGGTAAATTCCAGCTGCTGGGGTGTGTAGCGGTCCTTTGCCTTCCACTCAGCTCTCCAAAACCTCTCTAATCATGTTGTCCCAATAGGTGAGAAACCCTGTTGGTCCCTTGTTCCCTGTTCTGGCATATGGGAAACTCCTCCCCAGGCCGGCTCGCTCCCACCATCCTTCTCTAAGCCCCATCACCCCCCTGTTCCCTCAAGCTCACTGAGCAATCCATTTCCCAAGCATTTCACGTGTCTTTGCCTTCCTGTGCCTTCTTTGCTCATGCTCTTGCCTGTGATGGGAAAGTTGCTGTTAGTTCCCCGAGACCAGGATCCATTTTCCTCTCTGGGGGCCATGCTGGAATTCCCCCAGACAGGCACTTCCGCTCAAGACACTTTTCGTGCTGCAATTTTGTTCTTGTCTTCACGATAGCTGCTGATCACGGGGTATCGAGGGGTCTTATGTATGTGTCTGTCTTTCCCACTGGAAAGTTGGGGGACCTACTTGCTATGCAGGGTGTATGCTCAGCCTGGAGCCTTCTTCCTGGTTCTGAGTAGTCATCCCGTTAACCATGGGTGTTTGAATATCAGAGAAGGGTCGTAGAGAGCTAGTCTAACCTTTTGCTTTTATAGAGTTGAAGCTCAGAGAGGGAAAGTGACTTGGCCAGGGACACAGCATTTGATAGCCTCTAGAACCTTTGCTAGAACATGGCAATGCCTTTGGGGAGGCCAGTGTTAGGCTCTTTCTGTTCTGCGTGCTCTCTGGACACATTTCATCCATTCCTGGGACTGCTGCTGCCACTTAC